GCTTTTCCCTTTTCCTTCACAATCATGGGATCGGTCATGACATCAGTGACAGGGATGACATGATATCACATGAACTGACAGGGAGGGCAATCGCCGACCGAGTGGGTTAGCGCACACCAGCTCGGAGCACGTGTAGGAAAAGCTCGAGCTGCAGAGCCAGGGATCCTGGGTTCAATCCCCGCCCCTTGCCCGTTTTGATCTGGATGAGCATCGTACCGGCGTGCGGCCGTGCGGTCGTGTATCACTACTGCGTGCTGCACGTTAAATACCCTAGGCTAGCGGTGTTACAGCTGTGCCTAAATTGCTCATCTACAGGGGGTAACGTTGTAGCCATGGTCTGTCAGACTAAACTCCTGCTCTGGCAATCCCTAACGACTAATTTGTTTTTCTTTTAAATGAAATACCCCAATCCTGAAACTTTGCTCGTTCGTCCGTCCGTCCTTCCATGCATTTCCCGCTAAATTTAGCGGGGAAGTTGAATTGGTGCTAGGTCACGTGATTTCAGTTGATGCTACGCCACCTGACGTCACGTGATCTATACATCAATTAAGCTTCCCCGCCAAAGTCGGAGGAGAAATTAATGTGACATGACCTGCACATCATGTCGATTCAGTTTCCCCGTTAAATTTAGCGAAACGTTTGATTTCAAATGACCTAGCGTCACATGACCAATACTCTAATTCAGTTTACCGCTAAATTTAGGGAGAAAAATTGATGACACGTGACGTGACATCATGCGACCTGTACATCAATTGAGTTTCCCCGCTAAAGTTAGCGGGACAGCGATGTCACGTGACATGACATCACGCGAAGTAAGACCAAATCAGGTTTCCTGCTATATTTAGCGGGAAATTTGATGTCACGTGACCCGACGTCAGGAGACCTATACATATATTTAGTTTCGCACTATATGCATCAGGGAATTTATCAGGGAATTCGATGAAAAAAAAAAAAGGTCCTTCACTCCCAGAAACATTTTAATGGGTTTAAGATAAATATAAACGATCCCACTTTATATACTGCATTTCGCGCATTTTACGAGTTCGAAGTTAAATGTCGCTGCATTTTTTTTCGCATGGAGCCTGCGAAAGCTTACGATTAATGCCGTATGTGCAAACTAAGCATCAAGACGGCATGCTCACGTTCGTTTATTCCACAATTGGACATTACCATCACAAAAGCATCACATGTGGCAGATTTTCGGTCACTCTGAATCATAACTTTCAACTCCAGGGACGTACAGCAAAATATTCTTATTTTGACTAAATGTTTTGCTCACTGCCACAGTCTGAAAATTAGTTACGGCTTGTGGTTGGCCAGAAAATGAATTTTCGAAAGCATCCAACCAGCTTTCAACCAATGGCGCTTTTTCGTTTGCCGCTATTTACACGAATGAATGGCTAAACTCTCAATATATTGCTTGCAAGCGTCGCCGTTGCTGGGTGCTGACGTTTATTTCTACTTACTGGTTTCTTCGAACTACAACTTATTCGGTGTGAAACTAGCACAGCCAACCGAAAACTCGCCGAGCATAAAATAGAGGCACGGCCCCTGATGACGTCACCTGCAAGCTACGCACATACGAACTGGGGGCTGACTAGGTCCCCGGTGTCTAAGCAAACGGAGCACAACTACATTCTCCATGGAGCCCCGCCGTAACGCTCTTTTGTACAACACTGCTGTGAGGTGGTGGAGAGGTGAGATTATTACCACCCGGTTAAGCTTACAACCAATATTGTGACAAATGCCACGATTTTCGTGAGGTGCACTTTCGAAGCTAGGGTGCTGAGACCGGTGAATTCTCGCGCAGGAAGAAATCCGACGGCTCGGAAGTGCTCCGCCACCTGCGGCCACTTCAGCAGCCTCCGTCGAGGCGCCCGACACCAGCGCCCCTGGCAGTCGGAGGGGAGTCCCGGCCACCCCGGACTTGCCGGCCAGCACGTCGGCTGCCGCGAACGCCGCTTCGACGTCGCCCAGCGTCGATAGCTCGCTGCCCTTCACGGTACGCACTTCTGCTGCTACCGGCAGCTAAAACCGCTCTAGACGGCCTGCAAGTTCGTGTGCTCCTTGGGCACCCCATGTGTTTGTTTACCCCCGAAATGTTCCCACGTGCGTTTGTTTTCCCTCGACCTCAGCAAATGTTGACGGGAGCTTGGCTGCCATGTGATCACGCGTTCCCGACGCGATCTTTTGTTGGCCTTTGAATGGCGTGGCCAAGGCACGTAGGCGAAGGGAGGGGGGGGGGGGGGGGACGCCCATGACAAAACGCTGTATGAGGGGGAGGGGAGAGAGGAGGTCCCAGCAAAATGGAAGATTTCGGGGGGGGGGGGGGCGGGACCCATGACCCCCTCCCCCCCCTCCCCCCCCCTCCCCCCCTGGCTACGTGCCTGCGTGGCCACCTTTGCATTTCGAGGCGCAAAAGACGCATTTGAGAACACTTGCTCGCCGTATAAACCAGGGGCCGGCAATCTGCGACTCGGAGGCTGGATCCGGCCCGCGAGGCAATGTCATACTGCCGTGGGTATACGCAACCAGGAAAGGCCCCCCTTCCCTCACATACACGCTCAGAGGTGTCGCAAGTATTCGGGAGAGGGGGACTAGAGTGGTGGTAGTGGGAAGAGGAATTTCTCTCCCTTTTAGAGCGCAGCTCTTAAGGTCCATACGCACATTCGCGTTTGAGCGCGTTTGAGTGCGTTGCGGAGTCCTTGCGGCCAGGCGCGGTCGCTTGCGGAGCGACGCGCGCCTTCCCGCAACGCTCGGTAGCGCGACGCAAGCGAGTAGAAACTCGCTCCACTTTCCGAAGCGTTGCGGTGCGTTCGGGTGCGTTCGACCAATCAGAAGCCGAAAGAGGAGAGGGGATGACGTGTTCGCTCGCCCCACCCGGCCGACTCGGCGAGACGTATCCGGTTCGCCGGTCGCAGTGCTTGCTTTTTCGTTTTGGGGAGCGGTGGGGACTGTATTTTCCAAGGCTGCGATGGTTCAAGCTTGACAAAACGTCGGGGAAGCCGGCGAGATTGTCCTAAGATCGAACACTTCGACGCTGTCACCGTGCGCCGCCATGTTGCCTTGGATTTCGCTTACTATTGGTGAGCCACTATAGGACGATAGCGCGTTTTTATTGGCTCTTGACTGAGGTTGACTGCGTGTCAACGCAACTGTGCGTACAAGTTTGGCGCAAGCGGTCTTCGCAACGCAACGCGTCCGCTTGCCGCTACGGAACGCACCGCGCTCAAACGCGAATGTGCGTATGGGCCTTTAGGCGCCCGTCTCCGGCTTGAGCGGCGCCGCCGTCGGCGTAACCGTGAGGTCACGTGACCCCCCCCCCCCCCCCCGAGATCACGTGACCCCCGTGAGGGGGGGAGGAGAAAGGAGGGGGGCAGGGAGAATGAGCAGGGGGGACGAATCCGAATTTTCATTACTCCGAAAAATGATCTTAAAATACTTTTTTTCTCTTGTCCCTCGGCCGGCTTCGAACCGCTACTCCTGAACGAACCCTTTCGTTCAGGAGTAGCAGGCAGGATCACGAGGGAGGAGGAATATACCCTCCACTCAGTACCCTTCCTTCCTCCTCCTGAAGAGCTGCGCTCCGATTCGGCGTTACAGGGTGTTGTAGACGGCTTTCCTTTTTTTTTTTTTTCTATTGTTTACTCTAAACTTTTGCAATGTCTGGGGAGTAGTCAGTTTTTTACTCGCCTTCATTTTATTCTCCATCAGCAATTGTTGTGTCCCAGGGTGATGCAACCAAAATCAATAGCTAAGGTCGCCTTATCTAGCATAGTCATCGCTTGGAATCGCGTCTTGTGCCGTTGTCAATTTTAACAATTTTGTCACACTCAAATGCGTACTATCGCGATGTCAATAACCACACAGAATTTCGGTGTATTAGAGAACGCAAAAGGTTTGCAGATTTTTTTTAAGCTTCGCAGGGCAATTGCAGTTTTTTTTCTATGGAAGGAAAGCCTTGCAGGATTTCTCTTGTGATTATTGGAAGCGCGACGTGGTATTAGTGACTGATATTTGATATCACATTAAGAACCCGAACTTAAGATTAAAAAAAAAATAACTTGTGGCGGAGATGCTCTGAGACCTGAAAGTTTCGGAGCTGTAACCTGAACTTTTCTAACAGAAGGAACCTTTATGAACAAGGGTCCCCATAGTTTTCCTTTTTTGAGTCGTGCACACAATTTTACCAAGAAAGTATTTTCGAGAAAGTTTGCCATGTTAAAAGACAGTTAGAAGTCCGTTTTTGCTGAATTGCAGGAATACTCGAACGACATCCAAATTTTTGAGAATTCAATAAACGCAGACCTCGCCAGGTCTAAGAGATTGACCAAATAGAGTTTGTTATACCGCTACTACCCAAACGGAGAATAAGTTTAACAATGCATTTGCCCCGAAGGAACAGGTTAAGCTGTACTTAAAAAGGACAGCAGTCCTCGGACAGTACCGTGGAAAAAAGTCAAGAGAACTTTACCAGGCACAGACCATCAAGGCTTGTGGTGTGTCAGTGCAGTTTCTGTGTCCTTGTCAGTCAAAGAACTATTATACCTTTATCATCCTATATGAGGTCATCTCAAACTATATCCTTCAAGGTCGTCTTGAAATAATGTTAAAAGTTATATTTTTAGTGCCTTGTAAAATTATTTTAATCTTTTTATGTATTAATTTTTTCATTTATTTTTACATGTTTATTTATATCTACATTTGCTATAATTCTCCTACTTCTTTAATTTCTTTCTTTTAATTTAGTCCTATTTGTCTTACGTATAACTTCTATAATTTCTTTCTTCTCTTTCTTAGTTTTCTATTAAAACCGCAGTTGTGGATATAACGCTGTCCTGTTTACTTCATGTCCGTATCTGCCCCTTGCGCTTTATAATATCGGTATGTCAAACCAACAAGCCCACCTGAATATTTTAGTACAATGGTAAGTAACTATGACATGACATGTAATTACGACAGCCGTAATCGAGCCTCTTTATTCTTTTGACTCGTACCAGGCGACCGGTAGGAAGTCTCCCGTCGACTCCCAGCTGCGACACGAGAGCGTGGACAAGCTGCTCTCCATCCTGGGCGACACCTCGGTGGCGAACATCTTTGCGGGCGCCTCCAAGAAAGAGGCGAACGAGTCCGAGGACCGGTTTGAGGCCTGGGAGCGCGGCGAGATTGACTACATGGGCGCGGACGCCTTTGAGAACATCCAGGCTAAGCTGGACGAGGCCATCAAGGCATCCGATGCGTCCATGGACTCAAGTTCTCGTCACCATCCGTCGCTTTCTGAGACCGACTTTTGCGAGATCTTTGGAAGGTCCTAAAATGAAACCAGTGCCCCTTGAGGCACTGTCACGGTCACTTTTAACGCAAACAGAAGGAAATTCGGCGTGTCTCTTCTTAGTGTCTATGAACGAAAGGAAAAAAAAATGACATGTGCGAACGTCACAGACAACGAGGGCGCAAGAAAAGCAGAGCAGACTAGTCACTCTGGCGGGCGCGAAACTTTTTCCAGGCATTCGTCTTGTGCCACTGATATTACAAAGTGCCAAACTTTGAGCCGCTCACTCTCACAGCAACCGCGGATGGTTGTACCACCGGGACGCGTTTTCAGAACAGCTTGTGACGTCAGCCAACGGGCCAATTTCGGCACTCTGATTGGCGCGTTTTTATGAATGTTAGGTTGCCCGATTTACAGGAGGAGCGAGAGGAAGGGGGGCTGGTCTTAAAGAAACATGCCTCAGTGACGCACGCACTAGCATTTAGCCGTGTCCAAGGTTTACCTACTCATATCGGATAAACAAATCAGGGAGCGGCTAAAGGCTAGCGCGGGAATCACCGAAGCGTGCTTACCCAAGCGTTGGCCCCTCATCTCCTCTCAATCCCTTCATATACCAGGTTATCTGACGTCAATGAAGACTCGCCGATCAGATTGACGAAATGGGCACGCTGACTTCACAAGCTTTTCCAAATAGGCCAACGGGGCCGACAGGAAGTGAGGGGTTCATGGTATAGCGTCTTCTACTTTCAATGGGATTTGGACACATGTTCCAGGGAGGGACTGATGAGCTTGTAGAAAAATACTAGGAACAACCGCTAACTGACTTTCAGGCTTGCTGGTGGATGGTGAAGGAAATTTCTAGTGTTTGTTTGATGAAAGTGCTTAGAGGACAATAAACTATGCTCTTTGCGACTCATTTTCATCTTGTCTCTTTCTGTAAATCTTCGGTTATTTTCGATGTTGATCATACGATTTGTGTTATAATGTTTCGGTTTATGGTAGACATGAGTCAGCAAGAGGTTGCCCTATCGGTGTTGTGAGATTTTGGCATATCACGCTAATTAAAAGTGAGCCATTTCCAACAAGAAGGGTCGGTTGTATGCAACTTCTAAAGACGTTTTGTTGTTTCCTGTGCGTTCTCAGTCACGTGGGTTCCGTATCTGGTGTGCGGGACGGAAAAAAATAATAAAGCATTTCAACCTGGAATATGCGAGAAAATATAGGTGAGGCAAAACAAGAATGTGTGACAATCACGCATTTTTCGAAAACAAGTTCCAGCGCTGTGGAGAGATCGAAGCGATGTTTTACCGCATACCAGAAGTGACAACATTCAAGATGGCTGCGCCCTTGTGAAAAAGGTGTATAGCCACTGGCAGAAAGGCAGGACGTGAAAAGGCATTTGGTTTGTTCGATTCGCCTGAACCGGCTGAACTAGTTCAGCAGTGCAAGAACTGGCGCATTTGATTCAACAGGAAGTTGCACTGCCTCTGCACTGGCGCGTTCGATTCATTTCAGTTCTGAAGGAGTTCAGCCCCAGTTCCTGAAAAGCTTGCACCAGCTCCAGAGTCAGCTCAGAGTCCGTGCAGAAGCAGACGAAAAGAGCAGACGACACTCCTCGCCCGTCTCTGCTCGCGGTGCCATTTCTCGAAGCTTTGCTCAAATGTATTCAATGTTTTACAATAACGCCGAGACGGAGGTTACATTTCCTTTCATTTATGAAATAATTAATGTACCTATACTGGACATGGAATCTAGATGGTAACCTAGGGTAGGAATGTGCTCATTGATGATATTCTGAAAGCGTTTTCCGCACCTGCTAGCACAGGTGTGGCTCCCTGTGGTAAGTGTTGAAATATTGACTCGCGTAAATTGTGTCTTTTTGATTCTACGCGGTGCTATGTTAGAAAATGTACCACACTCTTGATAGCCCCCGCCTTAAGTAGCTCTTGGATGCAGACTGACGATCCCGATACACAGGGATTTAATACATTGGCACTCGCATGCCCCATAGCTGAGCATAATACTGCATGCTTTGTACGCTGGTATTTGTGGACGCCCACTAACGGGCTTGGGAAAAACGCAGAGAATCGGAATTGGCTTGCTAGTTCCACGCGGATCTTTCTTGCGAATAAGAATAAACGCTTCAACTTCACACCAAAATGGCGGTCGATAAGTGTTTTGGCCAAAACGGTCTCGTCAGGCCTTCGTCTTAGAAGTTACTGCTTCTGACCGCGAGCTGCCGCCAGTAATTCCCCACACGAAATCATCCTGATGCCGCGCATCTATCGTCGAAATGCGAAACTCGAAAGACTTGGCCTGAATCTACTATCGCTAAATGAATGTGAAGGAAATCAACGCTTATGAAAACGATAAGCAGCGGACGGCCGTTAAAAATGCGGACAGACGCATTTAGTACAGAAAACGTTTTTAACAGACTCGAATGCGGAAACATCCACAGGAAAAAATTGCGTTTTTTATACATTAAAACTAGGAAAACGCGAATGGTCTCATCAAACCGTGAATAATTATATGTAGCATACAACGTGGTGCGGAGAAACAAGAGCCAAAAGATGCAGACAACACCCTGCGCTTCCGCTCTGAAAGCCGATCACGGCGCCAGTCCTAACGCTGAGGCTGGACATGGTTCTGCGCCGCCGCTGCACGACTCCTGCACTCCACTAAATTCGGACAGAACTACTGGGTGAAACAAGGAGACGGTAGGCTCTTTAAATCGACCGGAAAATTCGGTTTCTTAACCTATCGCGCTACTACTTTGTGCAGCGTTGCCCACAGATGGTGCATTTTTTTTGTAAAATTTGCAAAGAGCGAACTTACCTGAGGAAAAAGTAAAGAAAGAAAAAGGCTTAGCTCCTATGGAAACTCAGCGACGCCACCGGTTTTCAAACAACACGGCGCCGTTTCGCACGGGACACAAGAGATGGCGCAACGAACGCCGCCGACAAACGAGCAGACGACGCCGAGAGCCGGCCCTTTAGCAGACAAGGAACTGCAGTTCCTCGTTGTTACCGCGCCTGTTTTTGTTTCTGCGACTGTCGCCGCCTGCGGAACGCGCGTCGCTTTTGAGTCGAAAAGATTGTCTGCTAAAGACGCTGGCTCTCGGCGCCGTATGCTCGTTCGTTGGCGGCGTTCGTTGCGCCATCTCTTGTGTCCCGTGCGAAACGGCGCCGTGTTGTTTGAAGACCGGTGGCGTCGCTGAGTTTCCATAGGAGCTAAGCCTTTTTCTTTCTTTACTTTTTCCTCAGGTAAGTTCGCTCTTTGCAAATTTTACAAAAAAAAATGCACCATCTGTGGGCAACGCTGCACAAAGTCGTAGCGCGATAGGTTAAGAAACCGAATTTTCCGGTCGATTTAAAAAGCCTACCGTCTCCTTGTTTCACCCAGTAGTTCAGAACGTTTTGGTCGAATCGAACAGACCTATTATATTTTACGGATGAATGTGAGCAGGCGATGAATAAGGAACTGAAATGAAAATTTAAGGGGGACGAACTTGTGTCCAAAATAAACGAACATCCAAAAGGGGTAAATGAAAGTAAGTACAGAGCGTCGAGGGCGCCGGAGTCGACGGAAACGCTGAGTCGAGCTCTGGCGAGAATACGTCGTCGTCAAGAGAGTCTCAGTGAGTCGGCAAAGCCGCGCTTGGCTTCCTATTTACTACACTCGGTGTCTTGAATATTCGACCTAGAATGTTCGGGAGTGAGCTAGGGCTAGACTGACTATACTTGGTTTCGGCCAACGCTACTAAAACACTCAGTTGGGAAACTCGCCGTCGAAACCTGGACCGCTGGCGTCCACCGAGACCGAGCTAAATACAACTGCGCCACTCTTTGTCATTTGTCTGTACTGTGATCACCTTGAGCTTTTAGAAAGCATGTTTTTGCGTAAAAACAAACGGAAAAGACTCTTTTTGTATGAAATATATCGGAGTTTAATACAAAATAAAGGGCGCGTCATGTTTTTAAAATCTTTAGTTTGCAAGGTTTGGCCGAACAATTAATATTGTTTTTATACAACCATGCCTCAGCGGTGCTTTTAGGGAGCGCGTCCCGACCTCGGTGCATTTTAACTTCGGTAGTAAGACGCGGTGCGTCCGTTCGGGAGTCGGGGGTGGCACTCGTGTAACCTCTTCCGCTGTATCCGTTTCGGCGCCAAAATGGCCGATTAAACCCAAGATAGACGTCACGGGCAGTTCCTCGAGTGGCCGCTGCGGGAGAAATGGCGGCGTTGTGTTCGCCATTAGGTCGGGGCTCGAGGTCAGATCGGGGACACTTTTTAAGAGCAGTTTCTATGGCAGTTTCCCAACTGAGTGGTTTAGTAACGTTGGTTTCAGCTTAAGTCCAGCCTGCACTACGAGCTAATGGAACCGATCAAACAGCGTCAAAATCGGAAGTCACTAGGTCTTCCTAGTACATGACTGGTCTAGCGATGATAGAAAACGCACGGAAACATGACGAACACCATGAAGGTGCGGTTTTTACGCTATCTGATTCCTCTCATCAGCTCGTAGCGTCGGCTGCATCTGGACTTAAACTGTAAGCTGAAATAAAGTATAGGCAAGGCCATTCTGGCCTCCTATCTTTTACACTTGGGTCAAGAGTAAGCTCGCATCTTCTAGAAGTACGGAGAAGCATTCCTACTCGGACATGCAAGCGGTATTACTCTCCCCTTTAAAAGTACATCGCCCCAATGTTACGTTTAATAAATGAACACAAAGCTAAACCGACTAACAGCAAACAGCCCGGAGTCGTCTGAACCATAAAGAGTCCTCAGTCTTATCAAGCATAGTACGGCTTGAGACGAACGACGTGCACTAGTTCGGGTCGCGGCTGGCGGCGTACTGATGGTTGGGTCCTATAGGGGAGCACCTCGTAATTGAAGTCCCCAAGGCGGCAAAGAACCTTGTAGGGCCATCCCACGGTGTCATCCCCTTTCGAAGACGGTAAGAGAGCTTCCCATTCAAAACGGAATAGTCTGCTCCGGTGTCGATGAGTGCCATCGTGTCTTGGCCGTCGATAGTAACGCCGA